AATTAACAGGTTTGATTATAATCATTCCGAATTACATAAATAAATTTGTTCGTAGATTTTTGAATTATATCAGAAAATTTGTACTCTCTCTCTCTCTTTCTCTTTCTCTCTATTAAATAAGAGAAAGAAACCTAAAGTACAACAACTTCATCTCGTAGAATGTACATCCTATCCATTCAGAATGACTTTTAAGCATGGCAGCATCCCCTTTAAGATTCCAAACGTGCACAGGAGATTGTCCTCGACGGTCTTTACTATGTAAAACAGCCCCTATTCCCTTTTGTCCATGGGGGTCTATCGTCCTCTCTATCTCTCTCTCTATCTCTCTATCTCTCTATCTCTCTCCCTTTCTCTTTATTTCCATCAAGATGACAGTCTTTGGACTTTCTCAAAAGTTTCTTTCTTTTCGGGCAATCCGTTCGATATTTATTTAGTGGAAAAAGAAGATATAAAAAAAGAAAAGAAAAGAAAAAAAAAGAAATGGAAAAAGGAGACAAAAGAATAAACAAAAAAGAAAGAAAGAAAAAGAAAAAAGAAAAAAAAAAAAAAACAAGAAAAGAAAAGAAAGGAATACGAGGAAAAACCAAAGAAAGAACAAGAAAAGTGTCCGTTCACGTATAGAAATTTAGAAAAAAAGAAAAAAAAAAAAATTAAAAAAAAAAAATGATACAAGAGAATCAAAAGAAAGTGGAGAAAGGTTTAAATCTGTCGTGAGTTTTCAAGATATTTCATGAGATAAAATGCGTCGCCCTCTTTATCTCCGTCCTCTTTCTCTTTTTCTCTTTCTATTCCTCTTTTTATATATATATATATATATATATATATATATATATATATATATATCCTCTCAGTCTAACGCGTGCTTTGATCTTCGAACGTGACCTTCGGGCCAACAACGATCGGCCTATGAAAGAGTATTTATGGTGTCACGTGAAAAAGCGAAAGCATCAAAAAGCTCGATGATGACCATCTAGAATGTATTACATTTTCTTTATCTCACTCCTACCATCCTCACCCTCACCTACCAACCTTCTCTATCCCTCTCACAATTCCTCTACCTCTGTCTATCTATCTATCTATCTCTTTTCTCTCTTTTTTTGTTTATTTATTTATTTATTTTTTTTTTCTTTTTTTTTCTTTTTTTGGTTAAATAACGACGCCGTTTATTTTTTAGCACTGTAAACGCGTCGTTACGACACGATGATATCGTTTAAAAGCATCGCGTGCGCACGCGCGCACGCTCATTCGTTCGACGATGCGTTAAGCGAAAATCCATATTGACGGTATTTATGTATCTATGTATGTATTCATGTATGTATGTATGTATGTATGTATGTATGTATATGTACATGTTACGTAGGAAAGAAAATATTACGCTGAGATGCATTTCCTCGATCGATGCAAAAGATTCACTATTTTAAACTTAGAAGGTATGTACGTACGTCTAGTCGGTGTAAACATTAAAGGGATGTACTAGAGTAAGACGAAGAAAAAGAATAAGAAGGGTAAAGAGAAAGATGGAGCAAGGAAGAAGAGAAAGAAAAGGAGAAGAAGAGGAAGGAGAACAAAAAAGAAATAGTGAAAAATTATCGTTCGTATAGTTGGAAAATAGAAAAAATAGAAAAAAAAAAAAAAAAAAGAAATAAAAATAAAAAAGAAAAAAAAAAAAGAAGTGAAAAGATGAAAGAAATAACGTTCGACTTAATCTCTAGAAGGTTAATAAATTTCTTCGTTTTTTCTTTCTATCTATCTATCCATTTATCTATCTATCTATCTATTTATATTTCTAAATTATAATTAATTATTAATTTATAAGAGATATCATAATATAAATGTAAATTTATTATAATGGTTTCATATGATTTCTGTTTTTTTTTTTTTTTTTTTTTTTAAATGTATGAAATTTTATAATTAGAAAATTCATGAATTATATAAATTGTATGAATTGTTTGATCAAATAAATTATGAGTTATTTTAATTCAAGAGATAATTTTTTTCATATCGATATATATATATATATATATTAATAATATCACGTGAAATTGTTCGAAAAGAAAATAGAGAGAGAGAAGAAAAATATATTATAGATATGAAATATATTTTATCTTATCGCCATCCTAGAAAATATTATGTGGCCTTTTTCGAAGTATAGAAATAAGACATTATCGTTAGAAAAGAAAAAAAACGACTACGTTTACGACTATGACTATGACGACGACAACGACGACGACGACGACGACGACGACGACGACAACGACGATGATGATGATGATGATAATGGAGTGAGAAGAAAGTTACTGCTTCGACGAACAGAAGTTTCATTCCTGCGGACATAGTTCGAACGAGAGAAGAGAGAAAAATAATAGAGGAAGAGGGTTATGGTCGGCAAGTGAGAGTGTTGCAAGGGGTGCGGGCAAATTGTACCCCTGGGGGGACAGGGTTGACGAGTGGCGCGAAGAGCACAACAAGGCAGAAGTCAGGCGACTTTAATTAAGACACAGGTGCGCGCGAGCTTTTCTGTGTCTCGGTTGGTTTCTACTGACTTCGAAGCATGAACAAAAACAAAAAGAAAAGAAAAGAAAAGAAAAGAGAGAGAGAGAGAGAGAGAGAGAGAGAGAATGGCACAAAAAGAGTTTTACTCCTTGTCGACATAGAAAAAGAAATAAAGAAAAAAGAAAAACAACGATGTGATGTAAAAAAGAAAAAAAAAGAAAAGAAAATGTC